AGGCCTTGAAGGAGAACCGAACTAATGCCCCTGTCTTATCTCTCCCTGATTTTATTAAAACTTTTGAGATTGAATGTGATGCCTCCGGGGTAGGAATTGGTGCTGTCTTAATGCAGGATAAGAAACCAATAGCTTATTTCAGTGAAAAGCTAGGAGGAGCTACTCTCAATTATCCTACTTATGACAAGGAGCTTTACGCTTTGGTGAGAGCACTACAGACATGGCAGCATTATCTCTGGTCTAAAGAGTTTGTCATTCACACAGATCATGAGTCCTTAAAGCATCTTAAAGGACAACAGAAGCTCAACAAGCGGCATGCAAGGTGGGTTGAATTCATTGAGACCTTCCCCTATGTCATCAAATACAAAAAAGGTAAGGACAATGTAGTTGCTGATGCATTGTCAAGGAGGTATGTTCTTCTCTCATCTCTTGATGCTAAGTTACTCGGGTTTGAGCATATAAAATCTTTTTATGCAAATGATTCTGATTTTGAAAAGATATATTCATCTTATGAGAAGTTTGCATTTGGAAAGTATTATAAACATGACGGGTTTTATTTTATGATAACCGTTTGTGTATTCTTAATTCTTCTTTGAGAGAGCTGTTTGTAAGGGAAGCACACGGTGGAGGCTTAATGGGACACTTTGGGGTCTCAAAAACCCTTAAGGTAATGCAAGATCACTTTCACTGGCCGCACATGAAAAGAGATGTGGAGAGAATGTGTGAAAGGTGCCCGACATGTAAACAAGCTAAGGCTAAGTCACAACCCCACGGTTTGTATACTCCTCTTCCTATTCCTTCGCATCCTTGGAATGATATTTCTATGGACTTTGTAGTGGGTTTGCCAAGGACTAGGACAGGTAAGGATTCAATTTTTGTGGTTGTGGATAGATTTTCTAAGATGGCACATTTCATTCCATGTCATAAAACTGATGATGCAATGCATATAGCCAACCTGTTCTTTAAAGAAATAGTTCGTCTACATGGCATGCCTAAGACCATAGTATCTGATAGAGACACTAAGTTTCTTAGTTATTTCTGGAAAACGCTTTGGTCTAAGCTAGGAACTAAGTTGTTGTTCTCTACTACTTGTCACCCGCAAACTGATGGGCAAACTGAGGTAGTTAATAGGACATTGTCTACACTCTTGCGTGCATTGATTAAAAAGAATTTAAAGACTTGGGAGGACTGTTTACCTCATGTTGAATTTGCATATAATCATTCTATGCATTCTGCCTCTAAATTTTCACCCTTTCAAATCGTTTATGGGTTCAATCCCACTACTCCTTTGGATTTGATGCCTTTACCTTTGAATGAAAGAGTTAGTCTGGATGGAAAGAAGAAGGCAGAATTGGTTCAACAGATTCATGAGCAGGCTAGGAAGAACATTGAAGAGAAGACGAAGCAGTACACCAAACATGCTAACAAGAGCAGAAAGGAATTCATATTCAACGAAGGAGACTTGGTTTGGATCCATCTTCGAAAAGAACGTTTTCCTAAGGAGAGGAAATCTAAGCTTATGCCAAGGATAGACGGACCATTCAAAGTGCTCAAGAGGATCAACAACAATGCATACTCCCTGGATTTGCAAGGTAAGTACAATGTGAGTAATAGCTTCAATGTTGCTGACCTTATCCCTTTTATTGCAGATAATACAGATTTGAGGTCAAATCCTTCTCAACTGGGAGAGGATGATGTGATCATGGGAAGCTTGGGTCAAGGAACTAAGGAACAGCTTGAACCAGAGGAGGTACTCGACCACATGCTCGACCACCAGGAGGACAATGCGATCGAGTATGCTGATGCTGAACCAGATGATGTACTCGATCACATGCTCGACCACCAAGAGGACAATGTGATCGAGTATACTAATGCACCAAGGAAGTACTCGACCATGCAGGGAGCTAAGGAGAATGAAGCACTTGGAACTAAAGAGGATATGTCATTGCAAGTTGCTACTGGACCACTGACAAGATCAAAGACTAAGTTGTTGAATCAAGCTATCAACACACTTCTACAACACATTGAAGGCAGCCTTAAACCGGAAGCTTGTTCAACCACGTTGGTTGTGATTCAAGCCGTTTAAGTGACATCATTGGAGGTATGTGACTTGCACTCTTTATCCCTCCTCTTGGTTTTATCCCAATGGGTTTTCCAAGAGAGGTTTTTTAACGAGGCAAGCTCACACACTCATACTCGAGCCCAATGATGTCTCGCAGCCCATTACCAAAGGAGAAGCCCATGACAAATTCGAAATCAGTCTTGTGTGTGTTTAATGTCGTTTCTTTCCCGAGAATAACTCTTCATCTCCCTAGAACTCTCTTCTTCTTCTTTATATTTCGCTTCTTCTCCTTTGTAAACGTTATCAAACATTTTCTTATCAAAAACTCTTTCTGAATTCGTTTGATCTTGAGTTTGTGTGTCTAATATCACGATCTCATCTTGAAGCTGCTCTTGGTGTGTCATATCCCAGCAGAATCAAGTCCGGAAGTTCAAGGAGTCTCGCAGCCTTTGGAAGTTCTACTCGACCCCTCACCTTCCCATATACTCGATCTCACCTTCGTCATTCGATCCATT